TCCACTCCCACAGATCTGCTAATGCACCTTGGTTCGCACCCAAAACCCTGCAGTTCTAGTACTATGTTCTGCCAGTGCACCTTTGACTTTTAAATGCCACAAGATACTATTAGCTAAAGGATGGTTCAATTCCATTCTGTCCTGGTTCCTGGTATCAAGATAGTTGTTTGCCCGTGTGGTGAAATCATGGGATATAGTACCCCTGAGATGGATCCTCTCTATACTTGGAGATGTATGGATGTAAAGCTTTTTATAGAAGCTAGATATTATTATTGATATGAGGCTAGAAGTTGCTGATTGTAGCACTCCTGAATAAGATTACAATGCAGAGTCTTAAGCCCAGGGTCCTTGTCTGTCTGTCAACCTGAGCTTCTGTGTAGCTTCCTATTCTCTTAGTCCTGCAGACTATGGCATTGCTGTCAAGGTTGAGGATGTTGACCTAGGGACCTGGTATGTTCATATTTGCAACCTTTTAGAGCCAACCTTTCAGAGCCAACACAGTGTCTCTTGGCTGGTTGACTCTGAAGATTCTTGCCTTGTTCCACTTCCTTGGGGACTCTTACAGTGTTTGTAACTATTACACAACTGGGAGTTCTGTTTAATTGCCAGCAATAGCTCTGATGGTTTCCCCCTAGACAATTGCCTAGTCCCATAGGGCAAGAAAGAGAGTCAAAGAAGCAGTCCATGTGAATGAGCATCTTCTATGTTAAATACCTCTAAGATATCAAATGTCTTCATCACCACCAATCCATGTTCCAAAAACTGGCTAACTGCTAGGTCTCCAAATGTGATTGTAAATTAGGAATCAAGCAGGTGTATTTCCAGTCAGCTTCCAGTGTTTGGCCCAACACTATTTAACATTTTTTATTAATGACTTAGAACAGCATTTCTCAAACTGGGATCTGCAGAAGCCTGGGGGTCTGTGAGGAAACTCCAGGGGGTTCGCAGACACTGCTCATCAGCTCCACTGTCTCCTTTCTGCCCAACAGGCCCCCTACCTGCCCTGGTTCTGCATGGCTCCCAGAAGCAGATGCCAGGTCTCTCCCTGTGCCCCCTGGGTGCATGGGCAGCTAGGGAGGCTCCATGTGCTGCCCTAGCCCAAGTGTTGTCTCTGCAGCTCCCATTTGCCAGAACCTACGACCAGTGGGAACTGCAAGGATGGCATGAGGGCATGGCATGCAGCCTCTCTGGCCACACCTCCGCCTAGGGGCCACAGGGACCTGGGAGCCGTGGTAAGTGCCATCAGGACCCCACAACCCAACCCTGGACCCCAACCCCTGCAGTAGCCCACACTCCCCTCCCACACGCAAACTCTCTACAGGGTCCCTCCAAAAAACCCTGTGCCCCAGCCTGGAACCTCCTTCTACTCCCAAACTCCCTCCTGGATTCCTCACCCCAGCTCCTTGCCATGACCCAAACTCCTCATCCTTAGTCCCAACCCAGAGCCTGCCCTCCTACCTGGAGCCCCCTCCTGCATACCAACCCTTCTTCTAGCCTCTTTCCAGCCTGAGTGAGGGCAAGGAACAGTGATTGACCGGGGCAGGGATGGAATAGAGAGGACAGGGTAGGGATAGGGCTTCGGTGAAGGGGCAGGGCAGAGTGGTTCCAAAAATTTTTAAATCAAAATGGGGTCCTCAGATTGCTAGTTTGAGGACCACTGACTTAGAAGAAAACATGAAATAATCACTAATAAAGTTTCCAGATGAAAATTTGCGGGAATGGTAAATAATGCAGAGGAAAAGGTCATTTTTTCAAAGCATCTGGATCACTTGGAACATTGGGTGAAATCAAACACTGTTTTAATATAGCTAAAAGAAAATATAAATATCAAGCAATAAAGAGTGTAGGCTTACATGAGAGGAGACTCTTGTCTGGGAAGCAGTGACTCTGAAGATTTTGAGGTCTTGGTGGATAATAATTGAATATCCACTCCCAGCATAGATACTGATTCTAAGGGTGCTCCAGGGCTGCAGCACTCATGGGGGAAGAGGAAAAAAAGTAGTGGGTTCTTACCAGCTATTAGCAACCATGCTCCCCTCTCATCTGCAGCGCCTCCTACATGCTGGTACACCCCCATCAACTCCTTCCCCTCCTTCCCAGTTGCAGAACAGCTGTTCTATGGCCTGCAGAAGGACAGTAGGGGAGGAGCGGGGATGGGGTGCATACAGGGGACAGGGCAAGAAAAGGTATAGTAGGGGTGGGGCCGAGGATGGAGAGGGGGTTGAGGACCCCCTGGGTAGACAGCAAGCAAGTTGGTACCTGTGGCCCCCAGTGTAACACTGTGCCCAAATTGGTGCAATTCTAGGATGCATAAATGAAGGAATCTCAGGTTGGTAGGCCAGCAGACAGATTTCACTGGGCTGTGGGCAAGATGGGGTGGGGTGGCTCTGAGCCCCCAGAAGGGGTGGGGCATTGAGTGGAAGGAGCAGGCTGGGGACTAGCTTCCCTTTAGTGCTGCCTGGCATGTGCTGTTTGGGGCTCCAGCGCTGATTTAAAAGGTCCAGAGCTCCGGTTGGTGCTGTAGCAGTGTGGCCAGGAGCCGTGGGCCCTTTTAAATCACTGGGCTATTGAGCAACTGCCCCCCTTTGTAACTCTCGCCATTTCTCTGTCTGCAGGCCTGCAGCTAGAAGAGATTATTTCATCTCTTTGACTGTGGTACAAACACTGCTTTAATACTGTGCTCAGTCCTGCTGTCTATGATTCAATCAGGATGATGATATTTTGGGGAGGATTTTGCCATGAGAATGATTAAAGGATTGGAAAACATGCATTACAATTAGCTTTATTTAGATTAACAAAGGGAAGGTTAAGGGGCTGACCTGATTATAGGCTATAAGTATCTACCTGGGGAACAAATGTTTAATAATGGGCTTTCCAATTAGCAGCGAAAGGGATCATACAGTCCAATGGCTAGAATTTGGATTAGGCAAATTCAGACCAGAAGTAAGGTATACATTTTTTACAGTGAGAGTAATTAACCATTGGAACAATTTACCAAGGTTCGTGGTGGGTTCTTTATCACTGATCATTTTTAAATCAAGATTGAATGTTTTTATAAAAGATCTGCTCTGAGAATTATTTTGGGGAAGTTCTGTGGCCCCTGTGATACAGGAGGTCAGACTAGATGCTCACAGTGGGTCCTTCTGGCTTAGGAATATGTAAGAGCTGAACATTAGAGCTCCTCCTGGTCTGCAGTTTATCCATCGCTTGTAATTTAGCTTTTTACTCACTTTGTGAGTAAGGGAGACTAGGCCACCAGTGTGTATTAAACGTGGTGCTAGTTAAAAATGCAGCTCTTATACCTGCTCTGTGGTCTCTGCTCTTAGCTGCTCCAGGGCATCTCCAACAGCACTCCCACCCACCCTTTTCTGGCACTGGAGCCTACCCAGTCACCAGTTCTCCCAGAAGATCCCATGTCTCCCATCCAGGTCTTGGACGATCCCACTGAGGTATGTGCAGGTTGGACACTCATCTACTCCTTTCCCTTGCTCATAGCCACTCAAGGCCAGGGAGCTCTATTTGCAGGTGGAACCATTAGTACCATTCTCCTAGCAGGGCCTTAGCTGAAGAGGTTTGTGAAGCTAAGGTCTACTCTGTGCTGGAAAGAACAATCAGTTGTAGTGTCCCTCAAATGCACCTGATGCCTATGAGTGAATGCTTCAGCTTATCACTGCGTTGCTCTCCCATCTTTCAATAATGCCCCCATTCTTGCTGTGCCACTCTTCAGCTGGCAATCCGAAGGTGGACTGCTGGCTGGGCATGCAGCAGGTGGAACAGGTAGTGGCCACATCAGCTTGGTTCCCTCTCTAAGCTTAATCGCCACTACAGTAGTGGGCCAGCTCTGGGGGTCCTGGCTCACCCGCCCCTTTGTCATCACTCCAGTTGTGGATAAGCCTGATATAAAGAGCCATGTGAGATTTACCTTTTCGCCCAGAAGCCACAGGCAACTGGTTCCATTGTAACTTCTGTTGAACAGGTTAAAGGTCAGAATTTAGAGGTGACTGCCAGAGTACAAAGGCCCGGAAAGAAGGATTTATCTCCACTACCAAAAAGGCTGTTGGTGCATTTTGCCCCAGACTCACCTGCTGACCAGAAGGCACCCAAGGAGACTAGGAGGAAAATTTGCAAGCCTAGTGCTATCCAGCTAAAGAAGCCTAGGAAAGTCTTGTTCGAGCCCACGGCATGTAAAGGGGAGCAGGATGCTGACGGTAACTCTGGTTCTGTAAATGGGGAATGAGATACAGACCTTAGGATGATAACATTCAGGCTGTTTATTCTGAGTCTTGTCTGTGTGACTCCCAGATCTGTGCATGCTGTCTCTAGGGACAATTTCTCTGTGTGTTCGAAACCTCACCTCCAAGCCAAGATGGTCCCCTGTATCCCTCTCAGAACCCTAAGAATCTCTCTCAAATTCTATACTTGAACAAATAGCTTGAGTGTGCAACATCAACCTGTTCAATCAGAAATGGGATATGGTGGTCTCCTGAATGCCACTGCACTGCACCGTATAACAATATCACTTAGTTCTTCATCTGTAGGTGTTAACGCACTTACAAATGAAGATAAATGTAATTATCCCCATTTATAGAGGTCAATGACAGATCTGAGCTGAGATCTCCAGTCTCCTGATGCCTAGTTCAGTACCCTGTCCATTGGGCCACCCAGTCTCCCTTATTAGTACTGTCTCTCTTGGTTCATATCAGACTTGTAATTAATTAATTGCCAAATGCAGAGCGTGCCAGGAAGGTATTTTTAAAATGCTCTTGCATTGAACTTCCTTTGTTTGTAATAATCTGCAGGGAACTGACTGGCTCATGGGGACTGGGGAATTGGAAATGGAATCTTTCTCTTTTAGAGCATTGGTTCCAATTCAGCCCCAGGTTGTGGCCAAAAGCTTTAAGTCTTTGAAAGCCATTCATTGTATGAACTAGGTTATTGGGTTTTGATCTCATTCTTAGTGAAACAAGTATCCCCATCTCTGAACCACTGTCACCATGGTATGTTGAGCAGAGATGGAGTTATGGAGTCTCAGCTTTCTTACCCAAGAGGGTTCCCTGCCTGACCTTATGGAGTCTCAGCTTTCTTACCCAACAGGGTTCCCCTCTGAGGGCACGTCTACACAGCAGGGCTAAGGTCAAATTAAGCTATGCAACTTCAGCTATGTCAATTGCGTAGTGTAAGTTGAAATAGCTTAACTCAGCTTTTGGCGTTGTCTACACAGCAGGAAGTTGAAGGAAGAACACTCTTCCTTTGACTTCCTTTACTCCTTGTGAAATGAGGGTGACAGGAGTCAGAGTAAGAAGCCTCCAGCTCAACATTATTTCTAAATAAAGGCTTGTAGTGTACACTTGCACTATGCTATTTTGGCATAACATCAGTTATTCCAAAATAATGCTGCTGCATAGACGTATCCACATGAGGAAGCTTGCCCTGTTCTGGGGGTACAAACACCTTCTCTCTCCAGGGCACTCCATCTTGCACCTTGCACTGGTACTAAACTCACCTACTCTCCGATGCTGTTTGAGACCCAGGCCCCTGAACCTGGAAGTTCACACAGACAGACAAAATGAGCTGGTGGAGACTTTTCACTCCCTGTGAGTCAGCCTGTCACACTGAGATGTGGCTGGAAGGGAAGCAGTGTGCTAGCTGTGACAGGCATAGTATCCACTCCTATGGATCTCCATGTCAGAAGTGTTGTTTCCATGGTCATGTGCCAGGGTAGGGGGAAGAAGCACTTACACCATATAACAGGACTGAGCATGTCCCAGGGTCTTTCTGCTTCTGCCTTCTGATGACCAGCATCTATTTATGTTTTCTCTCTGCAGACTTGGAGGTGAAGGAGCTGCAAGGTAAGAACCTGGCCTGGCTTCTTAGCCAGTTGGGGATGATGTTCTCTTTAATGTCATGGGCCTTCTAGTGAACATTTGTGGTTGTCCCCTTAACTCCTTCCTAAGCATGAGGAACTGTGAGCAGGGTATGCATGCTCTGCCTGTCTTCATAGTTTCCATCCCTGTATATTTTGGGGGCAACACTATCTCAAATACCCCTTGCAGCTTCCCTGAATTCTGAGCTGCTCCACTGAGCTGCTCCACTAGGTGCTTGGTGGGGCTCACTAATCAGGGTGGGTAAAATGCTGCATAGACTTAACCAAACTTTTCCAGCTTCCCCACCAGTTAGTAGAAGGAGACTGTTGATGAGGGAAGAATGTTGGAAAAGAAAGGAGAAGGAAATGGAACAGGGGGAGAAGCTTCCCTGAACTAGTTGGAGGGAACCCTGGCATCTCACCCTTCTCATGCCCTAGGAGCTAAAATGTGGGGTATGAAGAACTGGACCTGTCCACAGCTGAGGATCTGGACTGGCTGCTCAGTGGGAACATAATTCCTCTCACCTGCTTGTCATGAAGTGCAAGGCAGCATGATCCTGCAGCCGCCTGACTCCCCACTGTTGATTCCCTGTGTACTGATAGTGGGAAGGGAAAACCCATGATTACTCCTTAAAACCAATAAGAAAATCCCTATGCCCAAAAGTCCTTGAAACCTCTTGGATGTAGGTATGTAGGGCTTGTTGCCCGGCCACATTGGGGATGTCTAAGGCCTCAGGCTGTCTCTTTCTATGAAAGTCCTGGCTCCTGCCTCCTCGCATTGCTCTCTCAGTGGAAGCAAGGAGATGTGAGCCTCCTCCTCCCCCCATCTGGTCCAGTGACAGAGTTTGGTCTGGTCTCTCCTTCTCCAGTTTGTCCAAGCCCACGATGGTGTCATGCCATGTGCCTCAGTGACCCAGAAACAGCCATTCTGTTTGGTGGAGAGGGAGCCAATCAACAGCCTTGCAAGGATGCTCTCTGGAAACTAGAGATTGGTGAGAAGTTTTGGCCTGCACAGGGGAAACAGAGGTCCTGGCAGTGTGGAACAAAGCAGGAACTGAATGGATTGGATCTGCTCCAAGCCAGACAGAAGAAGCATTCCATCCATGCTAATGCCATTCCGTGCTGGACTTTCTGCAGGGAGGGCTGTATTATTCTGCATGGATGGGCTGGAAGCTAGTGGCTCCTTCTATTGCAGGGGTGGGCATGAGGCGGCTTGCGGGCCAAATCCGGCCTGCCAAGGCACTGGATCCAGCCCATGGCCACCTAGCCGGCACCTTTACTGTAGAGCAGCTGCACCCACTTTAAAAAGCAAGCTGCTAATTGCTCTGCAAACTGGGCTGGAAGGAGAAAACTTCATATGGTGTCCCTGTACCCTAGCAAAATCCCCCAGCTCCCATTGGCCAGTTTCCAGCCAGTCGGAGGTGAGAAACTTTGCTGAAGGCAGGGGCAGTGAATGAAGCCTGCTCACTCTCGCCTCCCCCTCCCTCTCTGTGCTGGAGCAGAGCCACTAGGAGCAGCCTGCACAGCACACAAGCAGGGTTTCTGCCTTTCCTGAGGGTCCAACTGGGCTGCTGGCCGGAAGGCTCCTAGGTAAGTGCCTCCTGCCCAGAGCCTGCCTTTGGCATGCCACTTACTCCTGCATCCCAACTCCCTGCCCCAGGTCACCATGCAAACCCTCTGCACCTTCAGCTCCCTCTCCGTAACCTGCTCCTCCACCTCTACTCCACCCAGGCCAGAATCCTGTCCTACACCCATACCCCTTTTGGACCTGGCATCCCAAGCCCCTGACCCAGATCATAAACTCCTTCTTCACTCAAACTCCCTTCTACACCCCCCCCATCATCCCAGACCCCATGCTCCCTCCACAGAAGTGCAGCCCTTCACTACTTACCAAAATTTTGAGTGCCCCCCCCATTAAAATGTATTGCCTACTCCTGTTCTGCTGGGATGAGAATGTGCCAGGGTGTCCCTGTGCTACCTTAGCTTACAGTGATATGGTCTGCTATTTCTCCATTTTCTCTCTTTTGTGTAGCTTCCTCCTTGTTCTCTGTTTTATCCTTTTTACCTGTTCTCTGCTAACTCTCCTCCCGGCTCCTTTCTTGTAGCTCCATTTCCACCTCTTTGTCCCTCCGCTCAACAGAAGGCTGCATGCTGCTTAGGCTGGAGGCCATCCACTGGTGCCACTCAATGCTGAGCTCAGTGCCATGGGCCTCAGCCTGAACCTGCGGTCCTGCATGTGCGAGCTGCTCCTGCTGTTGACTGTGTTAGGCGCATCAGTGGGAGCTGGATGGCTTTCAAGGAGCAGAAGTTGCAGTGCACATTGCAGTGTCTGAGGGATTTGGGAAGTGAAGCCCGGGTCCTGCCACTTACACGCTGATCTTCTCATCTGTCCTATTTCCCAGCTATATGCTGCTCTTATGCCTTCCACCTCCAAGCCCAGAAACAGTGATCAAAGCCCTTCCTTCTGGCACTGAATCAGGAGTGGGGAGGAAGGAAGAAAGCAGGACCCTGACCAAAGACTGATATGTTAGAACTTTTGAGGTGGGGATGTGAAGGAGGGTCTTTGTCCTCTCCCTGTCTCCTCATTGTCTGGTATGGTGTTATTCTGACAGACAATGATTTCTGGTTTCCCATGGATCTGCCACCACTGGGTTCTGTGCCGCTCTGCTCACATGGCCACACTGCCACCTACGACCCGGACACCAAACGCATCTACGTCTTTGGGGGCATGAAGGAGGGCAAGTGCTACAGCACCATCTACATCCTGGACACAGCCACCTGGAAGTGGCTTCTTGTGACTGTGAGTAGCGGAGCTTCTGCAGGAAAGAGACAAAGCATGGGGATGGCAGGAAGAAGTGTGTTCTGTCAAGGACCAAGCGCTGTGCCTTGATTGCCATTTCATGGGCAGTGGAAGAGGCGTGTTTAGGATCATTGATAGGAGTCCTCAGGAGAGCAAAGGGGAAGTGAACTGATTCTAACTCTTCCCCCACCCCTCTCCCTTGCTTTGTCCCTTGAGATGAGCCTAGTTAGACCCAGCCAGGAAAGCTAGGTTGAAAATTGGAAGATCCTTGGAATCCAGATAATGCATCCAGTGTGAGACCGGAGGCAGAATGGATTGACATTGGCTGTTGTATCTGCTACCTGGGAGGAATTGCACATAAATTGCAGGGGAAATGGTTCTCCATTTGTGTGGGCTAGCGAAAACCTTTTCTGGGGCACCAAGCTAATGAGCTGGCTTTTTTGGTTCAGAGGGCCTTGTTTTGTCCCCCGGCCCTCGCACTCTCTGTTTCCCAGAGAGAAACTTTCCCAGGTAGTGACCCCCTGCACCTTCCTCCCTTCCCTTTGTGGACAGCATTAATGCCCAAGAAAAGCCCCGGGGTTGTGAGACAATGGCGTGGGAGGCATTAGCACTGCTGGAGGCTGAAGCACTTACAGGATGATCCCCTCTCCCTGTGAATGGTCATAAGCAATTGGGATCAGAGGAGTGATGCCCCTCTCAGGTCACAGAAGGGTAGGACATAAGCTGAGACGATATTGTCAACCTGAATCTTAGACTTCTGGTCATGCCGCAGGTGGAGTGACTGCAGGACTCCCGATGCCCAAGGCCAGCAGGGAGCTGACCTGTGCCAACCTGTGTGCTTCATTTTCACACGTGAAACATGACAGGAAGCTTTCTTCCTCAGGCCAAGGGGAAGGTGCCGACACTGGCCTACCACAGTGCCACCATCTACCACAAGGAGCTTTTTATCTTTGGAGGGGCTTTCCCCAAGATGGCCTCCTTTGAGTCCAGGGCCTGCAGCAACATGCTCTACATTTTCAACTCTGAGTACAAGATTTGGTACCAGCCCATTGTGGAGGGAGAGAAGCCTTTACCTCGGCTCGGGTGAGGCATCTTCATTTCAGTCCTCCAAGGTAGAGGGTGTGTGTGGAGGGAAGCACCAGCAGGTCCCATCTACTTAATCTCCACACCTGGGGGGCAGGACATGTTTGTTCCCCACAGTTACATGCCTAGGGTTGGTTCACTCCTAGTTTTAAATGTCCTAAGTGAAGCAGCTCCCATTCTTTCCATGTGTGAGACTGTCCCCTGCTGATAGGTTGTGCTCTGGTATTAGGCTTCCATGACAATGGGGAACAGAAAAGGTGGGGACTTGCCATGCGTAAGCTTAAGTTACCCCAATCCCCAAAGGTGTAGCTGAGTTAATGGCTCTCCCAGAAGCCCGCTTTTGTGAAAAGACACTGAGCCCTCAATTCCAAGAGGTTCTTGAGACTGCCTCACCCCTCTCTTCTCAGCCATTCAGCCACTCTGCTGAGAAACAAGCTGGTCATCTTTGGAGGTCAGAGGACCCCTTTGTACCTGAATGACGTGCACATCCTGGATCTGGGTGAGAAAGGGACATCACCTTCCTGCCAGACTACACTGGGCAATGGAAGTGGGAATGCAAGGGTGCCTACCTTACGAGACATGATTGGGGACTGTGGGTGAAAGAAGTCCCTTATGTGATATGGGATGGGGACAGCAAAGCTCTTGAGATGTTGAGACCAGAATAAGGGGGATGGGAAGTTGTGACTGTAGGGAAGCCCTTCATAGGGTGAGTAGGAGAGAGCCTGGCCCAAGGCAGCGGGTAAAAAACAAGCACTGGTGATTGCAAGAGACTGGATGTCAGACTAAACTGGTAGGCTCTCTGATTTGATGAGGCAGCCCTATGTTCCCCTCGTTTAGCACAGAGGTGTTTGTCTTGCAGTGGGGTGGGAAGAGCTTCTAGTATTTGAATTTTCTCCTTCTTTTTCCCTGTGCATCAGGTTACATGGAGTATATTCCAGTCCCACTTCATTCAGGACAACCTTCTGCACGCTGGTAAGATCCTGCTGCAGCATCAAGAGGCCTCTCCCTCACCTCTCCCCACATCTTGCTTCATGGCTGGAACTGTGCTTCCTGCATGCTTGTAGGGCTACCACTCAGCACGACTCTCCCTCCCTGGTGCCTAGGCAGCAGCAGAACCAAAGAAAGGGAGAAACCCTTATGCAGAGAATGCTGGGTTGCTGAAGGGAAGCTCTTGGGTACTTGCAAACATAAAACCTTCTGTCTTCATTAGCACTATGGATGTAAATAATTTAATTAGCTAACCAGTTAAATGACTAAAATTGTAATGTTTAACCTTTTAATTGCCCACCTGGCCTGGATCACTCCAGTATGGCTGGAGTAGAAGGGTTGCTGCTGGCTTGCCCAGGCTGAGTTGGACTGTCTGGAGCGCAGCCAGGGCCCTCCTCTATCTGCTCTGCACAGGTGGCGCCAGAGTCCAGTGCAGGGGTCACTCTTAGCCTATAAGTTGGCTCCAGCGGCCGGCCCTGCTCTTAGGGAGCTGGCTGCTGCCCTGCGCTACAGGCTCTGTAATATAAGCCTATATAGAGCCTGCAGTGTGGGACGGTAATTGGCTCCCTTGGAGTGGAGCTGGCATGCATCGGGAGGGAAGAGTTTAACTGTAACAGAAACCAATACGCTGATGCTATTGGTAACTGTTTAAGGTCTTATATCCCTAATTAGCATCTTCTGTCTGAGGTTCTCTGGTGCTTCTCAGATGGACATTAAGCCTCTTAGCACCTGTAGAGATGAGTTCAACATCCAAAGCACAGCGAGGGAAGTAACTCACCTGGGGTTATGCAACGAATCAGGGGCAGACCTGGGACTAGAATCTTTGGAGTCTTGTCTCCCATCTATGGCATGAACCACTGTTGCAGGCTTTCTCTTCTAGGTAAACAGGGGACCCACCCCACCCACCCCCCAACAGCACCTGGCTGAGCAGCATGTGGCCAGCCCAGGGCACTGAGAGCACCTGAGGGATGGGGAAGGTGGGCCCCTTGCCATGTTCCCTCTAATCTTTTCCATCCACGTGAGAATTTTTTCTCTCCATGTGCAGAATCATTTCTTTGTAGGCACTGAGGCATGTGTCAATGTGTACCACCAGTTGAAACAAAACCTAGCTGTGGGCACTCTGCTAATCAGCAAAGCAACAATGGAATCTCTTCTGCGTGGCCATCCAAGTGCACAGCTTACAAGGAGCAGGGGCCCCTGCACATTTTGCTCTGGTTATTGCTATGCTTTGCTCTGATTCTAGCTTCCATGCTGCAATGCCAGTGTCTGACCAGAAGGTACTGATTAGTGGAGGCTGCAATGCCAAGGGAGCCCTGCAAGATGTATTTACTTTTCACCTTGGTGAGTAGCTCCCCATCCCCTCTTCAGAGCTGCTGAGCGACAAAGAATTGCTGAAGGTAGCTGTTGTGCTGCAGTGACAATGCACTTGTTGGTATTTCTGGCAGCTTTGTGTTCATCTGTCTGTTTCAACCCTGGCACAAAGCACAGGTTTACCAGCAGTGGTTATTCCTTTCTGTTGCAGACACCTTTGCATGGAGTGCAGTGACACACAGTCACCTCTCCTCGGTGCCCCGGGCTGGCCACACACTGCTCAATCTCACCTCTGCCCATCTGACCGATGTGGACAAGGAGAGCCAGGGCAAACACAACCTGTGCACCGTGCTAGTTTTTGGTGGCTCAGACTGTGCTGGGACTTTCTACAATAGCACAAGCAAGATACAGCTGGACCTAGAGGAGACCCCGCCCAGGACAGTAGGGGTTCTGTGTCGTGGTAAATAGAGACAGTGGATAAACAGTGGATGGCAATAAATTCAAGCAAAGACATGAACCAGGTTTACATGTAGGTGAAATATGCCCCACAGTTGGAATGTGTCCCTGAAAGCTATAGTGGCTTCTTGCCTATGTTGGGGCCCATGGACATGCAGTCTGAGGACTAGGCACAAATCCCAGCCCCACCTCAGCTTTCAGTCTATGCTTTGACTCGAATTCATCCTGTGAAGTCTGAACTAAATCTGCAGTGTCCTTGTTAGGAGTTCTGTTCAAGACCTTAGAGAAAATCCTTCTCTTTACTTTCCTCTCCTGCTGTATCTCACTTCTCTTCCCTGCTCTAAATCCCAGCTTGTGTTGGGCAGATGGCTATTAGCATAGAAATTAAGGTGACCTCATGTATTCGCTCTTAGCTGTGTGAGGAAAAGGGGTTGCGGCAAGCTCTGAAGAGAGAACTGTAAGGTAGGGATGCGAGTCCCCACCTTACAGCTGGCTGAATCTCAGGTGAAACTTGGTAGTTCCTCTCTGCTATGGAGAAATGGGGTTGGAAGGGCTGCTGGATAGATGAGAATTCACCACCCAGAAACTTCCCTCTGGGGAGAAAATATTGCTAGGAAGTGAGTGATTGGCTTTCTACAAGTGGCTGAAAAGCATCTGATGCTGTGTGATGTCTGGGTGTAAGTGGCATGCTATCCGGGGATGGGAAAGAGAATATTGCTTTGGCTAATGAGGGAGCTGGCTGCTATGTCAGCAATTAGGGAGATTGGTTCTCCGAGGTTGCTGCTTGGGAGAGGGAAGACACATAGATCACCCAGCAGCCTGGGACAACTAATGTCCTTCATATTGTCACTACTGGCATGGCAGCCATGATGTAATGTAGCTGTTGGTTGTTCCCTACTAGAGTAGAGACCTGTGGTTGGGCTCTATCTCTCACTGTCTCATCTTTCCTGCACCTACACCAGGGGTGGGCAATAATTTTAGAAAGGGGGGCCACTTCACAAATTTTGAAGTGGCCCTGGGCTGCCCCAGAAGGGGCAGGGCCTCAGGCAGGACCTGGGCCAGGACACTTCCTTGCTCCCCAACCCACAGACCCTGATTGGCCTGGGAGAACATATGAAGTCTTCGTCCCCTATCCCCAGAGAGAACCACCAGCTGTTCTGAACAATCAGCGCCTGGGGGTGGGGGAGCGGGAGCATGTGAAGCCTTAGCTCCCTGCCCTCGCCTTGCAAGGGGCACGCAGCGCTTACAGTGGACTGCCAACAGTTCTGAACAGCTGGCAGTTTGCTATAAACACCGCGTGCTCCATGCAGGGCAGGAGGATACTTTTGGGGCTGGAGTAGAAGGTTTGCTGCTGGCTTGCCCAGGCTGAGTTGGACTGTCTGGAGCGCAGCCAGGGCCCTCCTCTATCTGCTCTGCACAGGTGGCGCCGGAGTCCAGTGCAGGGGTCACTCTTAGCCTATAAGTTGGCTCCAGCGGCCGGCCCTGCTCTTAGGGAGCTGGCTGCTGCCCTGCGCTACAGGCTCTGTAATATAAGCCTATATAGAGCCTGCAGTGTGGGACGGTAATTGGCTCCCTTGGAGTGGAGCTGGCATGCATCGGGAGGGAAGAGTTTAACTGTAACAGAAACCAATACGCTGATGCTATTGGTAACTGTTTAAGGTCTTATATCCCTAATTAGCATCTTCTGTCTGAGGTTCTCTGGTGCTTCTCAGACGGACATTAAGCCTCTTAGCACCTGTAGAGATGAGTTCAACATCCAAAGCACAGCGAGGGAAGTAACTCACCTGGGGTTATGCAACGAATCAGGGGCAGACCTGGGACTAGAATCTTTGGAGTCTTGTCTCCCATCTATGGCATGAACCACTATTGCAGGCTTTCTCTTCTAGGTAAACAGGGGACCCACCCCACCCACCCCCCAACAGCACCTGGCTGAGCAGCATGTGGCCAGCCCAGGGCACTGAGAGCACCTGAGGGATGGGGAAGGTGGGCCCCTTGCCATGTTCCCTCTAATCTTTTCCATCCACGTGAGAATTTTTTCTCTCCATGTGCAGAATCATTTCTTTGTATGCACTGAGGCATGTGCCAATGTGTACCACCAGTTGAAACAAAACCTAGCTGTGGGCACTCTGCTAATCAGCAAAGCAACAATGGAATCTCTTCTGCGTGGCCACCCAAGTGCACAGCTTACAAGGAGCAGGGGCCCCTGCACATTTTGCTCTGGTTATTGCTATGCTTTGCTCTGATTCTAGCTTCCATGCTGCAATGCCAGTGTCTGACCAGAAGGTACTGATTAGTGGAGGCTGCAATGCCAAGGGAGCCCTGCAAGATGTATTTACTTTTCACCTTGGTGAGTAGCTCCTCATCCCCTCTTCAGAGCTGCTGAGCGACAAAGAATTGCTGAAGGTAGCTGTTGTGCTGCAGTGACAATGCACTTGTTGGTATTTCTGGCAGCTTTGTGTTCATCTGTCTGTTTCAACCCTGGCACAAAGCACAGGTTTACCAGCAGTGGTTATTCCTTTCTGTTGCAGACACCTTTGCATGGAGTGCAGTGACACACAGTCACCTCTCCTCGGTGCCCCGGGCTGGCCACACACTGCTCAATCTCACCTCTGCCCATCTGACCGATGTGGACAAGGAGAGCCAGGGCAAACACAACCTGTGCACCGTGCTAGTTTTTGGTGGCTCAGACTGTGCTGGGACTTTCTACAATAGCACAAGCAAGATACAGCTGGACCTAGAGGAGACCCCGCCCAGGACAGTAGGGGTTCTGTGTCGTGGTAAATAGAGACAGTGGATAAACAGTGGATGGCAATAAATTCAAGCAAAGACATGAACCAGGTTTACATGTAGGTGAAATATGCCCCACAGTTGGAATGTGTCCCTGAAAGCTATAGTGGCTTCTTGCCTATGTTGGGGCCCATGGACATGCAGTCTGAGGACTAGGCACAAATCCCAGCCCCACCTCAGCTTTCAGTCTATGCTTTGACTCGAATTCATCCTGTGAAGTCTGAACTAAATCTGCAGTGTCCTTGTTAGAAGGATTTTCTCTAAGGTCTTGAACAGAACTCTTTACTTTCCTCTCCCGCTGTCGTTCTGTTCAAGACCTTAGAGAAAATCCTTCTCTTTACTTTCCTCTCCTGCTGTATCTCACTTCTCTTCCCTGCTCTAAATCCCAGCTTGTGTTGGGCACATGGCTATTAGCATAGAAATTAAGGTGACCTCATGTATTCGCTCTTAGCTGTGTGAGGAAAAGGGGTTGCGGCAAGCTCTGAAGAGAGAACTGTAAGGTAGGGATGCGAGTCCCCACCTTACAGCTGGCTGAATCTCAGGTGAAACTTGGTAGTTCCTCTCTGCTATGGAGAAATGGGGTTGGAAGGGCTGCTGGATAGATGAGAATTCACCACCCAGAAACTTCCCTCTGGGGAGAAAATATTGCTAGGAAGTGAGTGATTGGCTTTCTACAAGTGGCTGAAAAGCATCTGATGCTGTGTGATGTCTGGGTGTAAGTGGCATGCTATCCGGGGATGGGAAAGAGAATATTGCTTTGGCTAATGAGGGAGCTGGCTGCTATGTCAGCAATTAGGGAGATTGGTTCTCCGAGGTTGCTGCTTGGGAGAGGGAAGACACATAGATCACCCAGCAGCCTGGGACAACTAATGTCCTTCATATTGTCACTACTGGCATGGCAGCCATGATGTAATGTAGCTGTTGGTTGTTCCCTACTAGAGTAGAGACCTGTGGTTGGGCTCTATCTCTCACTGTCTCATCTTTCCTGCACCTACACCAGGGGTGGGCAATAATTTTAGAAAGGGGGGCCACTTCACAAATTTTGAAGTGGCCCTGGGCTGCCCCAGAAGGGGCAGGGCCTCAGGCAGGACCTGGGCCAGGACACTTCCTTGCTCCCCAACCCACAGACCCTGATTGGCCTGGGAGAACATATGAAGTCTTCGTCCCCCATCCCCAGAGAGAACCACCAGGTGTTCTGAACAATCAGCGCCTGGGCGTGGGGGAGCGGGAGCGTGTGAAGCCTTAGCTCCCTGCCCTCGCCTTGCAAGGGGCACGCAGCGCTTACAGTGGACTGCCAGCAGTTCTGAACAGCTGGCAGTTTGCTATAAACACCGCGTGCTCCATGCAGGGCAGGAGGATACTTTGTGCGCTCTCCCCCATCCCAAGGCCAAACAGGGTCCGAGAGTGGGGGAGCACGCAGTCTCTCGCTCTCTGCCCCCGCCCTGCAAGGAGCATGCAGCACCTGGAGTGAACTGCTAGCTGTTCAAAATATCTAGCGGTTCACTCTAGGTGCCGTACGCCATTGGCTGGGGGAGGAAACTTTGAGTGCTCCCCCATCCCCAGAACTTGATTGTCCTGGAGGGGAGCAGTAGGGTGGCTGCATGCTGGATCAACCCACTTGGCAGGCCGGATTTGGCCCATGGAGGCTCTCTTGCCTATCCCTGACTTATACCCATGTAAATTGGTATTTACTCCACTGAAGTCAGTGGGGTTACTGTAATTGTGGTATGGGTGCTGGGACAATCAGGCCTAGTTTTACTCTGTGTGCTGAGTAGTTTTCTGATATTCTTCTGTGTCTGGAGACAGTGAGGCAGCGCATTTCCTGTAAAAAGGGTATTGCCCTCACTCTCCACAATAAGAGTTTAAGATATCTTCAACAAGCCCATTCCTGGACCCACAGCCACACAAATGCAGGGCCCAAGATAGCCATCAATGCTTTTCCTTTAATCTGCTGCATGGTGAGATTGAAGGCAATGAAACATGATCAGGGTAAGCACGACCTTTCCCTCCCATGCAATGGGCCACCCACAGCTTCTTTCAGAGTAAAAGGGTGGGAGTGATCACTCTTTCTCTTTCCTTCTGTTCAGCTGGCAAAGATGCAGCGGTGCTATGGCTCCCCACTGAGCAAATGAGTGTTGTTTTCCTTCTGTGGGCAGGGTGCGATCCATTTCTCTGCCACCTCTGCCCTCCTGCTTTAGAGAGGAATAGAGCCAGCTTGTAAGAAGGCCTTATGCTCGTAGCTCTGCAGGGGTATCAGGCTGCCGGCATGGGTGGCTAACTTGGAATGCCTCTAATTCCAGAAGGGCTTTATTGATTCTTGTTACGGTGGGGTATGGAGTCAGATCCACTTTAAATCTACAAAGGGAAGAAAGATGCAGTTAGAAACTCCTCGCTCACAGTCCTGCAGCAAGCACTAAGGGGGAGTTCTACGGAGTCCTTGCTCCATAGACTCAAGGGTCCATGATCAGCACACCACTCCAATAAATTCAAGCAGGAAAGAATAATTTGGTCAATTGAGGCTTAGTTCGCACCTGGAAAAAAGGTGTGATTTGATTGTGTATTAGCAAAACTCTCTCCAAGGCTCTACTTCGACCCGCTAATGTGTGAAAGCTGCCTTGTCTTTGCTAGGATTTTACCTTGTATGTATTGCATCATGTTGGTTAGCAAGTGGCCAGAATACACCTTTTTACCTAGCATGGATGGCCCCATTGGCCTTACAGTCCCTCTCTCTTTTTTTTTTAATGAAGTTGTTAGTCAGTATGGTATCCAAGCACCTTCTCTCCTCCTCTGGTGTGCAACATTGCAATGCTGGCTGCAGAAGGCTCTTTCAATAAGGGCTTCCATTAACCCTAAGAGCCTGTGTTTCCCATGCTTTCGGCAGAGATGGGGACACAGAATCTGGTCTGTCTCAGTTCATGTGGGGGCAGGTGACAATCTTGGTCTAGAGGCATTGGGGAAGAAATCCCAGCACTTCACTTTTGTGAGCCCTCACAAGATCCAGTGTTTTGAAATTAAATGAAAAAATCATGGTGAGAAAGATATTCCAACAGAGCTGAAAGCGTGTGGGTGGGTAGTGCTATCCCAGTCGGCGTGCACGTCAATAGGAGAGTGGCCAGGCGTGGCCCTCAGTCAGGCCTCTGCTGTAAGAAGTAGGGATGTAGTAGTATAATTAACGGATGAGCAAAAGCATATAGGTTAATGCTATAGACTACACACATTTCCCTCTCCCTGCCAGTATATTTGTCAGTCCTGGCTTGCGACAGGTCTGGGACCTACCTCTGCTGCAGCTCTGCATTTTGAGTGTATTAAGAGCTTGTGCCAGGTCCTGGGAGCTCAGACCCATCCCTAGACAGGGACTGCTGCCACCCCGTGCTGCTGCCTCTTTCTCTGAAGCAGCAGCATAGGGCAACAGGCAGCCGGTCCGTGAGGGAGCTAATGGAGCTGACCAGCTTCCACTTACCTCTCAGCATTGTAAACCTGAGGGACCAAACACAAGTCAGCCATTGAAACCTGCAATGGAGGGAAGAAAACTGGTTAAAAGCAATTCAAAACTCACCCTAATGCCCTTTAATGCACTGGTTGGAATTACAGATTGGCAGGCCCATTTTCCCCCTCAAAAGATCGTTCTTGGCACTTGCCCTGTTCAGCTGTGAAGTTACTGGGGTTCTATGAAGACCAGGGGTCTCCTCTAGTGTCTGGACACCAGCAGCATACAGACAGGGCCAAGCAAACATCTTTTGTAACTCATGAGTTTTTGCCATCCTCATGGAGCCAGGAAATGGAGAGCTGGCCTCGTCCTACAGGTTGAACCTCTCTAGTCCAGCACCCTTGGGACCTGACCAGTGCCGAATGAGAGAATTTCCCAAACCATGGGAGGTCAATACTATCTAGCAGCTTTACCAACTCTTCCAGTGCTTACTGGGTTCTTGGAAGACATTTAGGGGCAAATTAGAGCTAAATAACAGCACAGAACACAGAGCCATGACTGGTAAATAAACTTTATGGTATGGTGGGAAACTTAGCCACACCTATGATAAGTGGACATTTGGCTAACTAAAATCATGCCGGACCATAGATGTTACCAGACCAGAGTGCTGGACTAGAGAGATTCAGCCTGTATGTGAAATGCAATGTAATGGCTATTCCCCAAAAGAAGAAGAGCTAGGGCAGGAGAGCAGGTAATAGGCTGAGTTGGATGCATGCAGTCCTGCTTACGATGATGGGTCCCAGGGAATGCTCTGTCTTCATATACCTAAAGCACAGGTTGTGGTTGTATTGTGAGTGCAAAACCTTTAACCTCCACCACCATGTGGGAGATGTTTTTATCCCAGTCCTAAATAAACTCTGGGCTTTCAGTGCCTTCTGCAAACTGTGCTATCTGATCATCTTACCTCATCCCCAATGCAGTAATGCCCAGCTGTGTGCTGCAGGATCCGCTCTAGAGCTGCAAGAAGAGATGGTGCACTTGATCAGGAATCAGCAACTCCCATTTTCTAGGTCTTACTGGTTGGGTTTTGAAGAGCTAAATTGCCAGTAGCCTTTTGGATTGAGTGTTGCAAACCAAGGTAATCTGAGCTGGCTGGAAGGGAGCAACCCAAGGCAGCACTTATTCTAATTGGAGCCGAGGAAGGAGGAGTCACTAGCCATTTTGGAAACAGGATGGCTTCAAAAGTACAAAATAAGCTGCTTCTTCCCTTCCGCCCCTCTCCTCTGTTAGTGGCAGGGAGAGGCTTCCCTGCAAGAACAGATTACCAAGCAAACTGGGAAGAAGAAGAACAGGAAGGAAGGTTCAGGATGCAGGGAAGGCCAGTGAGACTCCTGTACTCCTATCGCAAGGCACAGGAACAAGGAGGCCCACAGTCAAATTAAAGGTGACCTACTGAAGAGGAAATAGAAATGGTATTTTATGCCTGCTACAATTAACCCATGACTGGGACACTCTCCCATGGATATTGAGGCAACAACCTTAGTACCATTTAAAATAAAGTGTTATACAGTTTGTGAATGCAGAAGGCAACTGCAGGGATAATGAGTTTAATGTTGTTAGTCCTTTTGTATTAGGGAATGAGCTGACTGTTAGAGGGGTCAAAAAAGAATCACTTCCTCCCCTCTTCCAGATGTGACATTGGAGTATCAGATATTTAATTACTGCTGGATGTGAGTTTCTGGATCAGATGGGCCACTGGTCTGCTACAGCATGGCAGCAGATGATACCAGACTGGATGGCTCACTGTTGTGTTCCTGTGCAACAGAAAGCAGGATTTTGGACCACATCACCTACCACATCACCATGTGTTGATTAATTCAATGCAGATGTACCTTGGAAACCACATGTGATATAGTGTTGAGCCCATTCCAACTTCTTCTCCCCTCCCACTCGTTTCAGCATACTCAGGTTCTAAAGAGGCCAGAGAGTCCTCAAATTAGATTGATCCATCAGACTGTAACTTTCCACAGGCCATACACAAAACAAGGTGAGAGCTGGGTCTAAACACTGTCAATCCCTGGACCCAAAATCAGCCTTAGGTCATTATAGGTGTCAGTCTTTTAATGACAGACCCACATATCCCAGTTCTTTCTCAAAATTGCCCTTCCTACAAAACATCACACTCCTTTGCCTGCAGCTCTCTTAGCCCCTGCCAAGAGGCACTAATGCCTGCAATTGGCACCTGCCACACTACTTGTAAATTCAGCTCTTCTTGAATGGAAGCTCTGGGGTCCCATGGACATTTCTCATGGTCACAGCATGTGCTCTTTGCAGGAAATGTCTTGCTCTTTTCACTGGCGAAACAGGTAGATGCTGCTAACCACACTTGAGCATGGATTTGATTCTATGCCACTGTGTGAGATGTGCCACCCTATTACCTGTTAGCAGTTTCAACAGAATGATACTGTTACAATCTTTGAGAGAGACAGCCAGTTGCAAAACCAATCTGGAAGTCCCATTTGCCTGTTTGTGATAGCACAGTACCTGCAAGGGCTGAATGCCAGAAACAATGTGATCTGAAATCATCCGGGCTTGGGCTCTCTTCTTCAGATCTTGAGGCAGCAGGCTGGGGTTGGGCCGGGTCTCTTCCAAGTACTGAATTATGGCTAGCTGCAATGAGCAAGAAGAGATGGGTGAGATACTGGCTGGCTGGGGA